TATATATATATATATATATATATATATATATATATATATATAATATGTTACTATATTTCGTATGAGCTATTACTGATAAGGAAAATTCAGTTGAAGAAATCGGACATCTAACATTCTCAACATTTGAAGCTAATATGATCGCTTGCAGATTATACGCTGGAAATCCACGTTGGCGATTATCAAGCGGACCAGTGCATGAATGCTGTAAATCATATATTCGTCAATATATTAGCATTCTTACCAGCCGTAGAACCATTTGGAAAACGACCACGACTTGACGATACTCTGAATGAGTTGTATCGTGTCTATTTAACTAAGCGGCGTACTTGGGTGGGTCGGAGACAGAAACGGCGTCAAATTATGCGGGAATATTCCGCGCTGTTAAACAATCCAATAGCTCTGGAGGGAGCAGTAAGTTGTTACTGCTAGGTTCTAATAGCTAAGTTCTAATATTTAGATGCGCAGTATATCATTTCACTTCAATTTCCATGTTATTTCTTGTTCAGACGTTTACCACAAGCTTTTGGTGTTACAGAAGATCTGTTGCTGTCTTATCCGGTTATTTCTTTTAATTTACTTTACAGGTTGTTAGTAATTTTCCAGGTTACACAGCAAATCAATCAAACCAGCGCGGAAACATCGCTTTGTTTTAAAACATATGTGAAACAAAAAGCTTCGGAATGCTCCCTTAAATTCGTTTTGATCAATGGATCACCGATGGAATTTAACAGTCTCATCCACTTCTTACAGCACTTTATCCCTGCTCACCTCAGCAAGCTTTTATCGTCCCCTTTCGATGTACCTATGGAATGATTTGCTCACTTTAAGTTTTTCGAAGGCTTAATCAAAAACTATTAAAACATGTGCTTTTTTTTTCAGTGGACTTGAAATTTAAACATGAGGAAAATTTGAATGGTGGTAATTACACATCTTTGTTTTATTTTCCAAGAATTAGTGTTGAAGAAATCATGATTACATTTATAGATCTCTGTATATAAAAATGTCACAGGAACGTCTTTGGTGTCTTAAAGAATTTATGTTTGTATTCTGTATTTTATATTTATTCCCCTGATAAATTTTCTGTTAACCTCTTTCCCTTTCTACTCATTACGTACAGTAGCAAGTTTCTCTGGATATCTCGATTTCTAAAGCTTTCCTGAGTTTTTTTATAAATGTTTCGCAAGAAAAACAACTTTATGACATCCTTTGGGTTGTGTTGCACGGTGTTCGTTCTCATGTGATGTGTTGAGTTCAGGAACTAATTGAGCCAAAGTAAGTCCTGGTCGATCGAAGATGACTGCTGGGGAGATTTCTCGACAAGAGAGCGCGAAAGCAGTGAATGAGATTATTGCTCGCTTAATCAAAGCCCATCGAGAGGGAAAAGACGTCGATTTGAATCGTCTTAAAAGCAAAGTTTCGTCAATCTTTTCATTAAGTCGTCAACCGAAGTTAGTTGAAATCATCGCTGCAGTGCCTGTGGAACATAGGGTATGCATTTTTGTGAGAAATTGCAAGCACGTATGTACTTGAATCCTTCATTTTCCGAAAATTCATATTTGTCCATTGTTGGTAAGATTCTAGTTAGTTCTCGAGCATTTGTCAGTTTTAATTACAGAGCATTAATAAGGAAGTGTAAAACAGATTTACAGGAATATAGGTTAGTATATCGAGGATATAAAATTAGTAGCAATGGGAACGAGAGCCTCATTACGAAAATTTTTATTTGATCTTTTGAAAGGTTTCAAACTTAATTTTAATTCTTAAACTGTTCTTGTTAACAGATGGTCAATGATCTTAGACATTCTCATGTGTTTTCATTTCGGTCCCTAATTTTCATTTTTAATGTGTAACAGACAGTAGCGCTCTTCAGATTTGATATATGCTTAATACATAATTTACAGAATTGGTTAGTGCCGAAACTGAAGGCTAAGCCAATTCGAACAGCTAGTGGCATTGCTATTATTGCCGTCATGTGTAAACCTCATCGTTGTCCTCACATCAATTTTACAGGCAATTTTTTTTTAGTGATTTTGCAGGCAGGTTTTCAAGATTTTGAATCCTACAGTTTCACCATTTAAAATTAGAGGAATTGTTCTACGATTGTGAAAGAAATGAAGTATAGGATAATCTGTATGGAATGCAAATGGATTTTTTACTGTCAAGTGAATCTTCTAAATATTGAAGTAATTTAATTATTATTGCCACATAAGTCATTAGAATTATCCGAACCAGGCCAGTTTATTTAAATCACTTTAAAATAGTTAAAAGCTTTAAAAATGACTTTAAAACATTTCGTGACAATTATTTGCAAAATTCAGGTAATATTTGTGTATATTGTCCTGGCGGACCAGATTCTGACTTCGAATACAGTACCCAGTCCTACACGGGTTATGAGCCGACCTCGATGCGAGCAATCCGTGCGCGCTACAATCCTTTTTTGCAAACAAGAAGTCGAGTAACTCAGCTCATGCAGCTCGGACATGATGTTGACAAAGTTTGTCCATTTGTTTTTATTTAAATTTATATTTGGCTTCTGGCAATTATGAAAAAATGACATGGACCAATAACTTGCGAAATATTTAAAATAAAGTTTTTGGCGACTTTAAAATCAATGAAATAAATGAAGTTAAGATTAAAATGTGACAGCTGTACAAAAAATGGATTAAAAAGATGCTTAATTCATTATAATATAATTCTGAGCTCAAAATTATTATTATCGATCGGTTACTTTCATTTCGAAATTTTCTTACAATTCCTACAGATTTTCTAGTCTTGATTTTTTTCGTTATTTACCACGAAGTATAAAAAAGTTTCAAAAAGAAGCTCTGTAATTCGATGTTTTTCAGGTAGAATTCGTAGTAATGGGAGGTACTTTCATGTCACTACCAGATGATTATCGGGATTATTTCATTCGAAATCTTCACGACGCATTGACTGGTCATACTAGTAATAGTGTGTCTGAGGTATATTTGTCTTTAGTTACATTCATTTTTCTTTATATTTGATGTCCTTAGTTGCATTCATTTGAACTATTGTTCATATGAGAGACATAGCCATGAAAGATAAGTGGCAAAATCACCACAGTTTAACTTAATCTTTTTCGTCTTGAACTAAAAATTATGAAAGGATTCAGGTTCATTTGCAACTACTTTAAATTACCATAATTGTATATACTTTAAACCACAGGCAGTAGAATTCAGTGAACGAAGCCGAGTGAAATGTATTGGCATAACGATCGAAACGAGACCTGATTATTGTTTACCGAAACACTTGGATGAAATGTTGAGCTATGGTTGTACAAGGCTAGAAATTGGTGTTCAATCAGTATACGAAGATATTGCCAGGGACACGAATAGAGGCCATACTGTGTGTCCCTTTTATTGATTTATTTCATGTTATTTGCGAAATTTATCCTCACAAAATAACGTATCTGGAAATGGAAAACATAGAATAGTAAACATTTTGATGGCATGCCTTTAATTAATTTTGCTGAACTATGTATTTATGCAATGAGAAGAAAAAGATCTTGTAGGTCTTATAGTGGGAAATAGAATCAATTCTTATCCTTGAAAATGATATCGTTTGCATTATCTGAATCCGTATTCTTAAAAATATTTGAGACTCACTCAGAATTTAATGTCATTCTAAATCTGCCCATTTTTATTTATGTTTGAATACCGATAAAAATGTTGCTGGTGGTTTTTATCATCCATATCCATTTTAAATATTTGTGCTGCGAAATTGTAAGTCGGTTGAAGAACCAATACTAAAAAAATTCATGACAACTGATTAAGATGCTTGCGGATTTTTGATTTACAATTAATCTTTATAGGTGAAAGCAGTATGTGAATGTTTTAAAATGGCGAAAGACACAGGTTATAAGGTGGTAATACATATGATGCCCAATCTCCCTAATGTTGGAATTGAACGAGACATGGAACAATTTATCGAGCTTTTTGAAAACCCGGAATTTCGACCAGATGGCCTCAAATTATATCCAACGTTGGTTATTCGTGGCACTGGCTTATATGAATTATGGAGGACGGGACGTTATAAAAGTTATCCACCAGAGGTCCTGCTGCTATAATTCTAGAGTTTAATCTAAATCATTGAATTGACCATCATTCTTTTCAATCTTTCTATTATTGTCGCAACAAAATGCTGGCAATCCAAAAAATCGGATACCCGATTTCAGTTGTTTAATACTAAAGTCATGACATCTGAGAAATTTGGCTTACTTAAAAATTGTTAGAGTTTAAAGGTATGATTCCGTTGTGTTTCTATACTTTACCATTTGTGTATAAAATTATCTGTTTGGTTTCTGTAGATTCATAAATTTGCTGTGGATCACGAGTTCTCTTAAAATTCAAATCATTTCAAAAATTTTTCCCAGTTAGACTTTTAGATTCCTTTTTTAAATTTTTTTAAAGGTTTTGGTAGATTTGACGGCCCGTATTCTGGCTTTGGTTCCTCCGTGGACTCGTGTTTATCGTGTACAACGTGACATACCAATGCCGCTTGTGACTAGTGGAGTGCAGTATGGGAATCTCCGTGAACATGCTCTTGCACGTATGAAGCAGCTTGGTACTGCATGTCGGGATGTTAGGACGCGCGAAGTTGGGATTCAGGTGTTAGTTTGAAGTTCTTAGTCATTATTTAAATTGTTCATTCCTCAGCTTGGAATAATGAATCATTTAAGAAGTAAAAATTGAACCCTAGAACTCCTATGATTTTAGGCGTGGTCTTAAAATTGATTTTAGTGAATTAGGCAACTGATTTATTGAGAAGTGAGTGAAATGCATCATTTTATGTTCTTCATTTAGTGGCAGATAAGTTCAGTATTGTGTTGTTTTCTACCACATTTTGCATTTTGTCGTAAATCACTACAAAAATTTAATTTTTTAAAGGACTAAAGGAGAATTCGAAAATTTGCAAAATAATGCTTATGGACAATATTTATTTCTATTTTTATTAATAAATCTGCAATTTGTGAAATTATGAAAATATGCTGACAAAGTTCATAGGTCGAAATTGATGGTATTTTCGAGTCTTCAATGAGAATTAAATATATACATTATCTTAGAATTTCAGGAAATACATAACAAGGTCCGTCCTTATCAAGTTGAGCTGATTCGTAGGGACTATGTCGGTAATGGTGGATGGGAGACGTTTCTTTCTTACGAAGATCCAGAACAGGTTTTTTTTTTCAAATTTCTAACAAATCAATCAAATATTCTGGAAGTTATGAAATTGGGTTTTTTTCCGGCATTTGTAAGTAACCATTCATTTTCGCATATTGTCTTACAAAAAATATCTCTTCCAGGATATTTTGGTTGGCCTGCTAAGATTGCGAAAGTGTGCCGACAAAATTCATCGGTCGGAGTTGAAGGTTTAGTTTTAGTTTAGTTTCTTTTCTTCAGTTTATTGTTTTTATCAATCGAGTTTATTGTTTTTGATTCTTCACGAAGAGTTAAATATGTAGGCTACTATTCAGAATCGAATAACGGTAATTTCTCTATGCTCTAATTCATTCTGAAATTGTTTCAAAATTATTAACGATAGCGAATTTTAACTTTTCTGGAATCCGTTGTTCATTTTATTATTCTGATTTATATCATAGTAGTATTATAGTATTTTATTATATATCGTAATGGTGCGGAGAGAGGCGTTCATCAGAAGTAGCAATGAAAGTCTAAATTAACTTTTCGATTAGGTAGCATTTAACTGCTATAAGTCTATTTATCCAGATTGAGCCTTTATAAAGGGTATCTTCCTAAATTGTGCAAAGTTGGATAACTGACGAATTTTGAAAAACAAATTCAAACATCTATTTTATCGTAAAAAGATTTGGAATATAAAGAAATAATTTTTAAGAGAGGCGAAAAGGTTCGAGAAGGAGAAGGTTCTCTTTATAGTGCCATGAGTCAGTTGTGACCTCTATTGTATCTGCACTGAAAATGCGGGAGTTAAGAAAAAATTTTAAACACTCTTTAGTTTTTTATGCAAGAGTAGAAAATTTTTTAGTTGCACGGTAATCTTAGAGAATTTTAGATAGCGATTGTTATTTAGCTTCTTCCGTCCGTATTTACTTACAACTTTCATGAAGATTTTTAAGGTTAATTTGTTTTTTATTCCACTATGTGTCTTCTATGTGTTTCTTCTGTTGGTGGTGTAGTTTGAAACTGAAAAAGTAGCACATTAGTTTTCGAAAAAAGACCCAAAATACTAGCCATTTATATGTATTTGGTCTACTTTTAGCTAGAAAAGATTTGGAGTTGCCTGCGCAATATGTTTTCTGTTTGTTTTGATGTCCGCAAAATATATGTTATATCGTTTTTGATTTTCATGATATGATGAGACATCTTGGTATTACTTTTTGTGAGAGTTTTTTATAGTACTCTTTGCATAAATTGTTTAAAACATAGATTTTTATTCACATGGTTTTAAGATTTAGTGGGGGAAATCTAGAGGATTTACTAAAATGAATTCACTTCAACGCTGCATTTTTGCACTTGAACATGGTTCAGTTTTAAATTGTAACTCTCCATGATCGAACTCTTCTGCGTTATTTCCACCTATTTTAGTTCAAAATAAATCTGGAATTTATTTGGTATCTAACAAAAAAAATTAGCTGTTAAATGCAGGTTTTTTTTCAAAAATTTTTCTAGCAAGGAATCACTTTCAGGGTGGAGTATCGATCGTTCGTGAGTTGCATGTTTATGGCTCGGTAGTGCCCGTATCAGCTCGAGATCCATCCAAATTCCAGCATCAAGGATTCGGACAACTGTTAATGGAAGAAGCAGAACGAATTGCGAAAAATGAACATTGTAGCAAAAAATTAGCAGTTATTTCTGGTGTAGGTACAAGGAATTATTATCGGTTAGTTTTGTCAACTTTATCGGGTTTTTTGGAAATATGTGAAACCTTCTAGATTATTGAAAATATTTATCACAAGAAATGCTGATTATCCCTGGACTTAAATTGTTCCGTACCACTGGCTCTTAAACAGATTAGTAAAGGAAGGGAACATATTCTAAAAAGTGAAAGATGAAAATTTAATTTGTTTGACACGGGAAATCAACAGAGTCTTGAAAATAAGATTGTCGTATGCAGAACAAATTTAATTTTCTTTTTGTG